TCTATACGATCTTTTTGGCTCATCAAACCTCACAAAACGATCGTACATCGTCTTGACCACCCGTCGAGTGTCTAGCTGTCGATCCAAGCGTCTTCGATCCCAGCTCTGTATTTTGGACAGGCCATCCGCAAACCTGTATGGTGGCATTTTCCGGCCAGATTGGAATACGAGGGTGTGCATCATCCTCAACACACCCTTCTTAATCCAGTACGTTTTCTCCTCTCGTATCTAAGAATATTTTGCGTTCATGGATACTATGGATACTCTGTTAATTTTCAAAATTCAAACCGATCGTCTTCTGTGGCTTTGTCAATGTGTCGCTTATAAGCATCCCAGGCTCTTGGAGGTGGCATAATCCCGTCCTGTGCCACGAACGCAGGCTCTGCAATAGTAAGTTCTCTCAGCATATCTATCCTATGGTATTGAATGCTTGTCGGAGCACAAAACCCATGCAACATCGAATAAGTGCTCGGACAAATGAGTGGCTTTAATATCAATATGCCAACGAGCACCACGAATCGTTAATGTGTGCGTCGCGCTTGCAGCGAAATTCCTTTGCACTTCTCTCTTTATTCTCATATTCACGACGGCAAGATTGGTCAACTGCGTATATTCAGACAGGAATCTAAGACTCGTGATCACACCCTCTCTTTCAATGGCTATTTGCTGTTTTAGTACCTTTCGCACAAATCCATAATTCTATACTAGCCTCTGTGGAACAGGACAATCTTCCCGTTTTGGTTTTCAAAATCGCCATCCTTTGCTCCTATCTAAACTACCAGGATGAACTCAATATTTCGACGGCGATAACTCCGAGGCGAAGTTGAATCAATGTCAACCTTGTCACTTGCGCGTGGATCGATCTGCTGGCAAACTACACCAGCTGACGTGTGTCCTTTGATTGGACTATCGGATCCCTCTCGTGTACCACTGTCGCCCTTTAAGATCTTGCCAGTTGTTCTCGCGGGAGCCTCTCGGATAATTGGCGGTGCCACTCAGCACGACTGTAGCTCGTGTTTGTGACTCTACTGCATATGACAGCTGATATACGCGCACATTGCCGCTCCAGCCGCAAATAGAAAGAGAATCAGGAGAGCCCATAATCATGCGGCTGATGCGTTCATAGGTTTTGGCTTCGTTGGATGGTGAAGGGACAATCCCGTTGGCCGGCCCGCCAGCACACGGAGAGCCGACTGCTGTACTGCTAATCTTCATGCTCATCCATCAGGCATTGATCATCTACTAGAGGCGCTGGACCAGATCGGCCAGGAGGGCATTGACACTGCCGAGAGCAATAACCCTGCCTCAAAAAGTGACGTATAATGGGTATGAAGTAAGCTTCTGATGACGAAGGCATGGCAAGGATTCAGAGATCACATTTGTAGAGCGAATCACGTCACAGGGGCGCGAATTATAGATCTGTCCTTACCACTCTTTGTCGAACCTCATCCAGATGCGCAATGAACCCGAAGCATTCTTGAGCCCATCCATTTATAGACCAGACAGTGTCACCAGTATCACGTTAAAGCAGTTTCGGATCTTGCCAAGCTGATGAAGATTGGGATAACCGTTTTGAAATGGATTGTCCAGCGACTGGATGGGTTGCTGGCAAAGCTCACATGCCCCTGAAAAACGCCACCCCCGCTTGTTGTGGTTTGTTTACTAACGGCTTTCGAGTTCTCAGCCCCGCAACGCCTCACATTTTGCACCTACATTCATTCTAGGTTATGCGCTGGCAGCGACACGCTCATGATCCGTCTCGTTGTGACCTTGAATCGATGCTATTACATCCCGCCGAGGCCCAATGACATCGGCCGCCCCGCAGCATCATCCACGAGCTTCGAGCTGGCCAAAACTGCCGATCCCGGAGAAACATTGTCTCTCGTCAATAAGCGGTCTACACTCGCTATTGTATAGCAACTCACGTAGGTAAGACCCTTCTTCAACATAGACACATTCATCAATCAAAGCAAAGTACGATCTGTCAACAATTGCTCAGGCATCAACACATGAATTGTAAAGAGCGCGGTGTCGAAAACAGAAGCAAATCTATCCACTAATGGTCCGTTGATGACTGGTATGGGGGCACATATCTAGTCTTCTATTAGCCAATTCAGATGACCTGTGTCGATCCTCTTAGCATGCCATCATGCAACACGCGCCGCACCGAGCTATGGTGCCTCCTGAATATCATCCCATTTCAGCAAGCCGAACAAAGGACGCGATCACAGAAGCTTCATGAGGCATTTACCTAGGCATATTCTGAGCTCAGGTGACTTGGGTGGATTTTTCCGCTATTGATGCAGTCACTGAACGTCGCGACTCATTCTGATGTGTCCAGACGTTGCGTCTCGGCAGCCAATGCCCAACTGCCAGCAAACCAGACACCCATGCACTTCAGCCACATGTGCGACTCGCGCAGATCTGAGGCAGCTTTGTGATCGCTTCCATGGCACGTTTCCTGTTCAGGTGCAAAGCTTGCCTTTTTCGTTCAAGAGTTTACGGCGCTAACACCGAGGACAGGATCAGTGGATTGATCATCTACCCGTCACCGCATCCAGTGCCTGAGCTCAAGCACAGTGCCAGCGCGTAAAAACCACACATTTTTGGCCATGGTGCGCGTTTTTCAAGCATAAAAGGCTCTCTAGTCAACAACTATAGTCCTCAGCAATTCCCCACTCAGGAATAGTCATGGTATCTCGCACATTCGCATCCCTCTTCGTGACTCTCGTGTCCGCGGGCATCGTCAACGCCTGGTTCCGCGTTGCATGCACCACCCCTCTAGTCACCGAGCGCCTTGACCCCATCGTCTCTCCAGGAGTGATTGGCTCGAACCATGTTCATACCGGTAACTTATCTGAGCTTTCTCGTTTCCCGACGCTCTTTTCTGATATTTTCTGTTGACAGTGCACGGGTCCAGCGGTCAGCCAAGCCTTCTCAACTAATTCACACCTTGGCTAACTTGTCCCTTTATCGAAGGCTTCGGACCCAGCAGCACTTACAACAATCTCGTCGGGGGTTCCTGCACGTCATGTGAGGTCGCACCCCAGGTTAGAATCATTTTCTATAATTCTCAAAAATATCACTAATATTTCTTTTAGGACATGTCAAACTACTGTAAGTCAATTGAGTAGTATCCAATAAATTGTGTGTTTAGGTAGCGCAGGGTTCCCGAAGCTTTATTTCAAGGATCCCAAGAACGGCAGCTACGAAGAAGTTGCCAACGGAGGTTAGCATCCTTCCCTGGGCCCCCAAATCACAATTACTGATCTTTTATTTAATTACAAGGTCTTTTGGTCTACTATCTTAACCGTGGAAACTTGGATGTCAGCAATGGAGGTCCCGGTCTCAAGGCATTCCCTCCGGGCTTCAGGATGATTAGCGGAAGCGCCGCTTCCCGTAGCAGCCAGTAAGTGTGCCACTTTCGCCACTTTCGAGCTTGAAATAAATGGTACTTGAATAGGGGAATTGCGGAAGCCGACTACTATAACAGCCAAGCTGGGCTGGCTCAAGCCGCTATCCAGTACTCTTGCCTTCGATACACCAGCACCACTTCTGGATATAATGGTGTGCCTATCTCTTTGTTTAAATCTTGAATTTGTGGGCTAAGGTTTTATCTTAGGGTATGGATTCCCCAACACCACTTGTGAGGCTGGATACAATGCTAGGATCCAGTTCCAATCATGCTGGGACGGCGTGGTAAGTGCATGTGTTCATACTCATCATATGCCCACTCATGTGAAAACAGAACCTCGACTCCGCGGATCATCAATCACACGTTGCCTACATGACCGGGCTCGACAATGGAGCCTGCCCTGACACTCACCCCGTCGGACTGATGCACTTGATGTATGAGGTATGTATATTCATCTCCGGTTAAGAAGCGACTCACTTACGATCGAAAAGATCACCTGGAATGTGAATGATTTCGTAGACCGCTGGGAAGAGCCTAACTGGCCCTTCGTCTACGCCACGGGGTAATCATTATTCAAGGATTTTTCATATCAAAGTGTCTGACAACGTTTCTTCCTGCAGTGACCCGACTGGTTTCTCCGAGCACGGGGACTTCCAGAGTGGTTGGGATGAGACTGCGCTGCAAAACGTGAGCATGAGCCAGAAGTACCAGAACGGATGCTTACAACTTACATCCAGGCAATCGACTACTGCAACAACCCCAATGACGCGACCGGCACTGGCGACACTTCTGCATGCAAGTATCTTACCGTCATCGATGCGGCCGTCGCGGGGACCTGCAAGGTCAACCCCGTTGTTAACGAGGCGACTGGCGGTGTTCTCGCCAAACTCCCCGGGTAAGTCTCTCTTCCTCTTACCTAAAAACCCGAGCCTCATTATCATCGTAGATGCAACCCTATTCAAGCCGGCCCTGGGAATGCGACCTTCTACACCACTGCCAACTGCCCCATCTAAATGCCTTATGTTGTGCCCCAGTACATCTTGTACTTTTCTCGGTGTCTTCTCCTGCGTTTTATTTCTTTCATTGTCTGGGTTTCGAAAATGTGAATATTTCATGCAGAATTACATTTTAAAGCGACCAACAGAGTTAAACCGGGTGTGGGGAACACGCGCATCACGAGGCTTGCCAAGTACCCAGCAGCGTCGATTTGGCCGGTCGTCGATCTGAGCGTTGCCAATGTGGGTTATTGTTACTAGATGGCACGAGTGATCGCGAGCACTCGGCTCACCAGTGTACACGATGGGCAAGCAACTAGGCAAGTGGCATCGTCGGTGGCGCGTCGGGCTTTCGATCCGGGCGTCAATTGATGTCGCGCGCGTCGATGTGTGAGCACCCAACAGCAAGCAAGATTTAGAAGCCATGTAGGGTAGCGTGGTCGTCGACCGCCTTGAGCATGCTGCATAGTAACTTGCAAGCTCGACATCACCGCCACCTCGCCTCGGATGTCACAGGCGAGCGGCCGGAAATCAACAAACGCCAGTGGCAGTGCGGCGCCATGGGTTCTCGGTAAGCTCCCGCCGGCAATGGGGATGTGGCACAGTGGTTAGCGCGCACGCTTTGCATCCAGCAGTCTGCGTGAGGCCGTGAGTTCGAACCTCACCTTCTCCACCACGTTTTTGCTCAGCACTTAGTCGATCTTCGCTTCCGAGGCATTCTTCACGCCTGATCGCTTTCTAGAACGTGGGGTTCAATCCCCCTGCCTGCCCAGACGTTTTAATCTTCAGATGTTGCGCGCTTGCCTACGTCCAGTGTTAGTATATAATTTACTCTATTTTATCACTCCTTTGCGGAGTACTACAGTAACATAGATTGCCATCAAGCCTGCTTGTGCTATACAGCTGGCCCGGTATCAATATTTGACCAGTCACTTCGCGAAGTGTCACACTATGTCACACATTCTTTCAGAAACGCGTCTCGCTCGTACACTACCCCTAGACCTGTTACCTTCTTCACTTTCTTGATAATCATGGGCATTAAAGGCCTTACCGCGCTCCTCTCCGAACATGCCCCCAAAGCAATCACAGTAATTCATCCTACGCTAAGCTGGTGCGCTTCCGCTTAGGATTCTCCTGCAGGAACATGACATCAAAACGCTCTTCGGCCGCAAGGTCGCTATTGATGCCTCCATGTCGATATACCAATTTCTCATCGCGGTGAGGCAGCAAGATGGACAAATGTTGACAAATGACGCGGGAGAAACCACAAGGTGTGTCTTGGTTTCATGCACGCAGACCACCTCTGACCCTCGTTCCGCGTTCCAGCCATTTGATGGGATTCTTCTATCGAACGATACGGATAGTGGAGAATGGAATTAAGCCTGCCTACGTATTCGACGGAAAGCCGCCCGATCTCAAGTCCGGCGTGGTGCGTGGTGGCCAATCATGTTCTCCGCAGACCTTCCCACTTATCAATAACATAGCTGTCTAAACGCTTCGAGAAGAGGGAAGAGGCCAAGGAGGATAATGAGGAGGCGAAAGAGACAGGTGAGCAGCTACTTTAAGTCCCTGAGCCCACGAACTAATGGCTCGCAGGAACCGCCGAGGACATGGATCGGTTCTCTCGCCGGACAGTGAAGGTCACACGCGAACACAACGAGGAATGCAGACGTCTGCTAAAGCTGATGGGGATACCAGTCATTGTGGCGCCCAGCGAGGCAGAAGGTGCGTGATAGCCCAGCAATCCTACGACTTGAAGCTTGCTCACGCTTCTTCCCCTCTAGCACAATGTGCGTCTTTAGCGCGTGAAGGCGCCGTCTATGCCGCGGGGTCGGAGGACATGGACACCCTTACATTCGGTGGCTCCATCCTTTACCGACATCTTACTTTCAGCGAAGCTAAGAAAGCGCCAATCATGGAGGTCAACCTCCAGCGGGCTCTCGAGGGTCTCGAGATGGACATGGGAATGGCAAGTTTCTCTGTGGCTGTTTCTGAAACCGTACTAACACGAAAGTGTAGTTCATCGACTTGTGCATTCTCCTTGGTTGCGACTACTTAGAACCGATCAGAGGAGTGGGGCCAAAGTCAGCACTGAAACTTATCAGGGAGCACAACGGGCTGGCGGGTGTGGTAGAGCATTTGCGAGAAAAGTGTGCTTATCTGCGCGCACTCACCGAGTATACAACTGACCGCTGATATCTTAGGGCCGCGGAGAAAGCAGAGGCAGCGGGCGATGATGAAGACGAAGAAGGTGAAAAGAAGAAAAAGAAGAAGGCAGGAATCCAAGTGCCCGAAGACTGGCCCTGGGAAGCAGCAAAGAAGCTTTTTGAAACGCCAGATGTTACACCTGCCAAAGACCTTGATGTACGTCGTCATTTGCTTGAAGAGATGCACTTGTTAACCGATGCGTACAACAGCTTGAGTGGCGCCTGCCTGACGTGGACGGTTTGGTACAGTTCTTGGTCACGGAGAAGGGGTTCAAGTACGTCTTCCTCATTTGCTCATTTATGTTTCTCGCTAACGATGTCACAGCGAGGAACGCGTGCGGAAAGGCGCAGAGAAGTTGGCAAAATATCTGCATACGAAGCAGCAAGGTCGATTAGACGGATTCTTCACTGTTGCGCCGAAGACTTCACCAAAGAAAGGCGATTCTAAAGAGAAGACCAAGGGTAAGGGGAAAGGAGCTGACGCTAAGGGTACAAAACGGAAGGTTAGCTCTACATACATGTTGCTGCCGAGAATATTGAGACTGAATATCTACACAGGCGGATGAAGCCAGCGGGAGCAAAAAGAAAGCAAAAAAGTAGATCACCCTTGTATCGCTTTTTGTAGCCATGTATTTTGCTTTCTTGTATCCTTCCATTAGTTTGATTACATTAGGGTTGTTCACAGTAGCATTTTTTTCGCCCATTTTTTTCTCCATTCTCCACCACTACAAATTAACAAATTTATCTGGTGTGATGCATGACGGAGACATCTCATCCAGTGTGATTTCAACAATCAACATCGAAATTGAGCAAAAAATGAGGGAGCAGGGAGGGTTAATAGACGGGGGATGGCTCAGAATAATTGGGCTGTGGGCTCCCTATTGTCGGAGGTCCCTTGTGTGTTTCCTAGCAGATATCACTGCGGTTCGAGCTTCACTTCAGGCTTCAATTGTGATAGGGCACGGGGCTTGTGCCAGTGTCATACCAACGCGCGCGCGCCGCGCAAGCGTAATCGACCACTCTCCTCTTCCTTCCATGCACCGTTGTCTCTTGATATCGGAAGTCATTGTGAATATCACGCAGGAAATAGTACATGATGGCTATAGATGGAGGAGGCCCACAGCCTGGGACTCGTTGGCCAAGCTTGCACGAACGTGTCGCTCGTTTAGCGAGCCATCGCTTAACTTGTTGTGGAGAGCCCAGGCCTCGTTGATTCCCCTTTTGCGCACCATGCCGGCTGACCTTTGGAGAGTGGACGGTGAAATATTGGTGAGCCCAAGGCTATTGATGAGTATGGTTTGTGTCTCATGGGACTGACCACTGGCAGACACTCGACCGGCCTATCAAGTTCACGGATTGGCCCAGATTCCAAACATATGCTTCACGTATCCACTATCTCGATAGCTATTCTGATGAAGGCGACCACTACTCAATCGACCTTTATCCCAGTCCCGAATGCCTGAAAGCACTTGTACTCGCTAAACCTTCAAACATTGTGTCCTTTTGTCCACGCATGCACTGCTTAAATTGGGTTGGCCTAATGGAGCAGCATTCGGAGATGGCCTTTGAATGCATGCCCCTTTTCATGGGCGCAGCTACCCATGAAGTCACCTTTTCCCTCGATGGTTTGAGCACCGCAGGATTGTCACTTGTCCAGTCAATTCTCTACAACTTTTCCGGGCTGCGGTGTATCACGATCCACAGCAACGACCTGGCTAACAAACCGGCAGTAGAGAATGCTCTCACAGAATTACTCTCCTGTGGAAAGGATTTATGTGAAGTATCGCTGCCTTACTCCCCACTTTCTCAACCCGTCGCCGAGCATCTCGCTGGATTCGAGCACCTCCGAGGATTAACGGTAACGCTCGATGAACGCATCTTCTCTACTCAGGCATCCGGTTTCTGTGCTCTCAAACGTCTTGAGGTAGATTGCACGACTTTCCGAGCGATATCAAGCTTGATACGGATGCTCAAATCACCGCTGGAAACCGCAACGTTTCAGGTCAATGATGGCGTGCTGGAGCCACAGGAACTTGCTCGTACTTTCGAGATGATGAAGCTCCACATTCTACATCCTCATCTTCGTAGCATACATGTGGCCGCCTGTAGGTCTCGTATCGAGCCTCAAGGCGCCTTCATTGGTGAAAATGTGCTACAGCCTCTATTAGTCTTCTCCAACCTCTCGCTAATAGATCTCTATATCACTGCCCCGATGGAGCTCGGCGATACGATCGTGCGGGAAATGGCTTCAGCCTGGCCTCGACTTTCCGTCCTCATCCTCAGCTCGGGCGGTTATTTCCTGAAATCATCAATAACACTCGTAGGGCTCATACCACTATTCCGCTTGCCGCACATACATCACATATCAATCGCTATCAAAAATTCAACAATCGATCCAGCCGCTGATCTAGCATCATTGAAAACGCAAAAAAGCAAGCTTCGCCTGCTGGATTTGCAAAATTCCATCATCGACGAGGTCGGGCCTGTGGCAGCGTTGCTGTCAAAGTTCGCTCCAAATCTGCGGCGTATCCTGTCATGGGGCCAGACTGTGAGTGACAACGCGGGGATGAACCCCGAATCGGCCAAAAAATACAGGCAGAGATGGACAGAGGTCGCTCGACTGGTACCAGTCATTGCCGCGGTTCGACGGGAGGAGAGGGCGGCTGCACTGGCAGGACTCGTATCGTGAAAGCTGGCCAGATAACAGACGATTTGACAGCATGATCAGCACTGAGCACGAAAATGAAGAATTGCTAGTGAAGCGGTCAATTTACCACATGCAATAGAGGGTTAAAATTCAAATAGTTGTAACAAAATAATGCACAATTCTATGTGACGTGACCCTGGAGCACGAAGCTGGGCTGATTATGCAGATATCTCATAGAACGGTTTTGGTAATACATGCATATAAAATGGATCAGCGCGACTTCTCGTCGCCCGAGTAGTAAATCCGCCTAACCCATCGTCTCCGCCTTGTGACACCTGCCCCTCCACCCCAGCCTGCTCCCGAGCCTGCTTTTCCGTGGGTCGGTGCGGGAAGTACATCTTGCCATGCATCGTTTGTGTAGACCCATCCATCTATGAGGCAAACATAAGTAAAGCTTTTATTATCGGGGACGAAGGAACGCACTAAAATCGCCCCCAATGCCTTCGCCAGCCCAGTCAGCATGCAGGTCGGGCCGCCAGTCTTCAGTCTCGACAAAACGCCATCCAGGGGCAAGCGAGAACGTCAGATTGCTGCTGTAAGAGCGTTATAAGTCATATGCGTGGTAGTCAAGACAGAAAGATACAGACCTGACACCGCCTTCACCAACTCCGCTCCACCCGTCTCTTCCTCGTGTCCACGCGACGCGTTCGCCAGCCTTCAAGTTCCTCTTGCTCCATCCCTCTTTTGCTTCCCCGGCACCATTCTCGCCTGAAGAAGTCGTGCCGTCCGCCCACCGCTCGTTCTCCCACAACTCCACCG